GACTATAGAATGCTTACACATATGCATGCACACACGTACACAAACACATATAACAAAAGTGTTACAGAACCACTATCCTTATCTCTGAATTAGTCTGATATTTTCTGCTCTGCTCCACTTTTTTAATTAAAAAAATATTTATTAGATGTGAACATCTCCATAAGGAGAAGAAGAAAGGAAGTGGAGAGACAGGAAAGGGGTGGGGACAAAGGCGTGGACTCTTTCCATAAAGGATGACTAGCATTGTCTAGACATCTTTATGGTTGTCACAAGTAGACTGGAGTGCTACTGGCACCTAGGAGGCCAAGGCTGGGAATGCTGTGAAACACACTGCTGTGCATACACAATCTCACAAACATGATTATCTAGGCCCAACTATCAATGGTGATGTTTAAAGAGGAAAATAAAAATAACAAAGCAAAAGGTATATTACAAAGTTTACCAAAAACATTCCAAACTTTGAGAATAACACTAAATAGTTAAATTCAGAGACACTATGGCATCAGCATTAAAGATTTATCTCAATCCGTTTGTGACTGCCTAGATGAACACAAATAGGGTAGATAATTAACTTAACATTCTAGAGGTAAGTATATCACATTGAACTAAAAAATAAGTATTATAAGACAAATGGTGCATGGAAAAAAGTCAGTGTATAGAAGCAATGACTCTTCTGAAGACTATGTATCTAGTAAATTTATTCTTAATTTCTTGAGGTGAGAAAGAATGCTATTTACCTCTACATTCTCCACTGGATCCAATCCAACACCTTCTAAATAATAGGCACGGAAAAAGTTCTTGGCAGAAAAATGAGAAATAGATGCTTTACATTTACTGAGGCATTGAATTATATCTCAAAAGTACACCTCACCAATTAAAAAACAGTGTATCCTTCTTAAACAGCAATGAGGAGGCTTAACACGGGGCAGATCCTGTAAGAGGTGAAATCAACACAATCCACATAACCACAATTACATTTTCATTCAAAACGCTGGAGAATCATCTTGTAGAATTCTTGACTACTACAGAACATTAAATAAGCAATCTAAAAGTGATCAGAATACCTGGTACTTGCTAATTGTCATTTGTGTGTGTTTGTATAGTTTTGTTTGATTTCTTCAGTAACCAATTACAAAAGATGCTATTATTATTCTTCACAGATTTATAGATAAGGACGTAGACCTAAGTGTTTCAGATTTCTTTATTTTATTTGATGCACATGGCTGTCTTCCCTGAACATATGCATATGCACCATGTGTGTGCCTGGTGCCAGCAAAGGCCAGAAGAGGGCATCAGATAACTTAGAACTGGATTTACAAATGGCTGTAAACCACCACATGGGTGATGAGAACTGACTCAGGTCCTCTGCAGGAGCTACTGAGCATCTCTCCAGCCCCAACCTAGAGGGTTTTAAAAAGCAGAAAAAGATTATATGCTCAAGATTGAACTCTGAGACTGAGCAAGGGATGCATTTTCTCTTAACCTTTTCAAAACCTTTTAAACAAATAATAAAAAAAACTCACTGATAAGGCTATTAATATCACTTAAGAAAATATGATAAGCAAAATGACATTGAGGCTACTTATGACTGAAATTCTATGTACTTAATATGGTCTAATCTAACCTAAGTAGTGAATTAATATCAAAATATCACTCTATAAATAAAGTGTAGGAGAAAAATAATAAGACCAGCCAAAAGGAAAGCAAGTTTAAAAAAAAAAAATCAAAATCAAAGCTTGTTTTGAACTGAAAGCTGAACCTTTATCATTAAAACAGCAGGAATATCTTCTGTGTTGTAGACACATACTAATGCTTGGGCAGGAGCTTTCTGAAATGACATGAGTCTATGCTACATATACAGTATTAGATAAAAAAAACTTTAAATTATACTAGTTGGCCCAAATATGCCTTGCAAAGATCTGAGAGTTGATCTATTTTTTAAAAACTGAGAAGGAACAGAAAAATAAAGACAATGGAAAAGCTAGCTATGATGTAAAACAACTTCTTTGGATTGTTTAGCCTAGGGTGACAAAAGAAAAGGAAGATTATCTTTGAAAGTTTCACTGATCCTCATCAGACTGTATTGCCACAAAAATTTCTAAGAAAAAAGCGTGTTCAGAGGCTGCTAATAAATTCTTTTAATTATTAGGGGGAAATGCCATGCACAAGTTAACCACCAAGGATGACTATGAATTATGTTTATAAATTGCTTACTTCTACATCTGCTACCTTTTCACAAATAAAAATGTTACCATAATGATGCAATGTCAAGACAGGATACAAGCGTCTTCTCAGAAATTCCTAGTCTCAACTGGCAGCTGTTGAGCTACCATTTCTTCTCACTACTCTACGAGTGAAGAGCTAGCCAACAGGAAAAACTGCATTATTTCTATTTCTTCCACTAAACGTGAATTATGATTGTGCCTATGAAGTATCTATTAGCAGAAACAGTGCTTTGTAAAACAAATTTTAGGTAGGCAATAAGTAGGACCCTGTACAAGAGTAGGTCCTTGGAGCTCAAGTTAGAAGAGAGCATTGATGGGAGTGATATGAAGTTTCTTCCAGTATATAACACATGGTGAACTTGTGCCTAATAGTATCATGTATGGATGTATAACAAACACATAGTTAATTTATGAGAGTTTTTAATGTCATTACTTTAGAACCTATGGACCAGATACCCCGATGTGCTATCACATAGAATTTTTCCAGGCATTAACAATGAAGCATCTCTGTGAGTTTTGTTAAAATGTATTTTTGTTCCGTAGATGAAGGCATTATTTTAGCAAAGGATAAGTAAATTATCTACCAGATGGAATAGAAAACAAACCACCAAAAATAACTCTCAGCTTTTGATCTATTATTATCATAATACATACCCTACCAAATGTGGAAAACCACCACCATTAAGTGTACTAAAGACTATTTCTTCAGGAAACTAAAATTTCTACATATTTAATAAAACTGATTGAGACCTACAGTTCTCTTTTAGAAGTTACATTTCTATTAACTCAATTTTCTCATAGCTCACAATTGAAAGTAACAATTATGAAATAGGGCTAACTTAATTTTCAATTGCATGTGCATTTCCCTGACCCATTTGTTTAAAATTTTATGTCCTCTTTTGTACAGTAGTGTTTTTAGAAGTTATTATTCAAGACTTTTTAATATACTATATAAAATCTACTGATCTGTCAAATTTCCTATCAAGCCACACTTGCAATTACTTTACTTTGTTGGTACCTAGTGAAGTGACTTTTCCCTTACAACTCTTAGCTACTGTTCTATACTGTTCGCGTTCTACAACAGGGCAATGTAAGAACCCGACTGAGACTGTGCTATTGCTGGCCTCATGACACTGCTGGGTACAGTTCATTACAGTATTTAGTCTTCCTAGACAGTAATATGAAAGAACCTCTATTCTTATCTTCCTTTATTATGAGGAAAATTTTATCGTATTGCCTGGAAATACCATCATGTCTTGATAATTATTTTTCTGGTTTAGTTTTAGATAAGAACTACTTTTGATTTGTATTTTCTAATTAATTACTTATGCTTCAGTGTAAAAATCACTATATTAATTTTATATGACATAATTTTATATGACTTCCTGGATTCCTCTGCTTATTACTACTGATTATTCTAAAAAAGAAAAGGACTATCTACTAAATATTATGACAGAGCTGAAAGGAAGAAGAAGCAGAATTTGGCATGAAGAATTCATGTTATATACTCATCAATCTAATATACTTTACCATATATCAAAATAAATGCCGGGGGAAGTTAATGGTTAAAAATAATTTAAAAGAGAACATATATATCTAATTATTAAATAGATTTGGAGATGAAAAAAGAGTGTCTAAGGATGGGCATAATGGAAAAATATCAACAAAGAAAACTCAACTGCAGATGTACTAAGCATGCTATCTCCAAATGATCAAAGGAAATTAATAGACAAGCATCCAACCAGGAATAAATTTAACAAAATAATAGATAATTAGACAAAATTCCCAATTCATAAAACAAGTCTTCTATATTAATAAGAGAAAACTAGTAAATATCCAGAAGAAAGTGGACAGGAAGAATAAATGGATGAACAGATGACTCATATCACAATAAAATAAGATGAAATTCAGATAATGAGATGTGGTATTTTTGTGGCCTATTCAGTAGACAAAAATTTGGTGCTGTGAAATAAAAAGTTCAAGCACACGTGAAAATAGCACAGAAGATGTTAAGAACTTTTCTGGAAAGCAACTCTAAAATATGAATTAAGGCTATAAAACCCAAAATTCACACACACACACACTCAGATATGTAGGCAAAAAAGTATACATAAAGACGACCATGACAATATTACTTACATAGCATTTAGAAGAAATTTCTATACATCAAACAAATACTTAGTTCATGATATATTCTTACGATAGAACAAAGTGCAGTCACTTAAATTTCTAAAGAATAGTAAAAGACTTGAAAATAAGATTATATGGCAGCAATTGAAAAACGGTATTAAGTTATTTATAGTGTAATATAAATACTATAGTATACTAAATTTATAAATCCAAAAACTCTACATTCAGAGAAAAGGGGCTGAAACCCAAGTATAACAGCAGTTCATTTTTAGGAAAGGGATATGGTGGTATTTCATTCTTTAAAATACCTTGAGCAATGTTTCAAGTATTCTATTGTAAACACTTTCCTACTTTTATAAAGAAATGCAAAAAAAAAAAATGTTACTTTTCAAACTAGAATAAGTCTGTGTAAGTATGCCATCTAATAATACAAGGAAGCCTTCAAAACATCAAGAGAGCATTTTTTAAATGGCCTTTTTATACAAGGATAACAAGGCACTCAGTTTTTATAATGTAGGATTTTTCTCATATGGCCAACACCTTTAAAGTACTTGAAATGCGAGTAGAGATAGCCCTGGAGGGGCTCAGAAGGTCTCACAAAGGCAGCCCAGCGCGGCCGACTGCCGGAATGTGGGCAGAGCTTACCTTTCTCGCTCACACTCTCGCTCTCAATCTCAACATCATCACAACTCGTGTATTCAGGTGTGGACGCCAACTCCTCCTCAGAGCTGCTCAGGGAAACCTGGCGCATTTTACCTCCTTTCTTCGATTTGTGAGGCCGTGGCGGAGGGGGCCTCACTGACTCCGACTGGTCTGAACTCAGAGAATCGTTCCTAAGCATGGCCTCCATTTTCTCCCGTTTCGTTTTCCGGACAGCAGAGCTGGGATCTAAGTGGTGGTGTTTCCGCGGGGAGTCAGCTCGCCTGGTGTCTAGTCTATCGACCGGGATAGGGCTCCTCCGGGGGGTGGGGGGACTGTGATTTGTGGTCCTTTGTGGATAAGAACTTTGCCCCTGAGCCTCTCGAGTTCTTTCCATAGAATAAGAGCGTTGACTCTCCATGGCAGCTCTACGTTCAGATACAGATCTTTGCCTTGAGGGTCGATCCATCCTTAGCAGAGAAATCCTGGAATCTTCTAGTTCAGCGTTTGCCAAAGACACATCGCTGTGCCTTCTCTCGTGTCGTGCTCGGGACACTTCGGCATGGATCCGCATTTGTTCTTCATAGGGTTGTGGCTTTACCGGATACCGGGCCAAATTCGGGTCACTTCTGTAGCGCGCCTGGTACTCCTCCTCCCTGCTCGGCCTTTCATACTCATCTTTGCTCTCCACATCCTCATCGTCTACAATATACTCTGCGGAATGTCTATGGCCTCTCCTGTTAGAATCCCTATAATTTAAATGGTCCGGTTCTTCATAAAACTGAGGTTCCCGCTGAGATCGTCTATCAGCATAATCTGATGGAGATCTAGGCATTGTGCTATCTGAAGGAACATACTGTGGATATTCCTCTCTCTCTTCACTCTGGTCGTATCTTCGATTTTGATCCCGGGACACTGATGGACTTCTTTTCCTAGCAACCAAAGAAAAAGACTCTGAGATGACATTTAAGCAAGTTACACTTCACTGATTCAATACCAGCTGGAGGGATACATTCCGGTAGATCGTTGTGTCTTTTTTCTTGTGAAGGACATAGCTTAATAATACTATAATATTGTAATAGTTCTATACAACACGGTGTGTGTATGTGTGCCTGTGTATGCATACATGTGTCATGTAGGTACATGATATAGAACATTCAATTTACTTTGGGCATTATTTTTATACAAGTGACTGAAGAAAAAAAACATTATGGTAATAAGTGTATAACCTGAAAATTACACTGTAGTTTCAGGATCTGAATTTCTTAGTTATTATAAATATTGCACCTAATCTTGGAGTATGTATTTCCAAAGAAGAGATGTGAATTATGCACTTAGACTGAGACTATTTTAACAAGCAGATATTAGGAAGTACTAATGTTGCACCCTGAATTATCGATGAGAAACACATAAATGAATGCAACACTATTATCACCAATCTTAAGATGTTGAATGGTCCTAAGGAACTACGATCTTATATAACACTGATAGCTAAGCTTCAGCAAGATAATTTGTTTAAATGAAACCTTAAAGTATTAAGGATTTCCCATGGAATATTATCAAATCATGCTTAGTACTATTGAAGTATCAGAAGTCAATTTTATTCCTACCTTGAGGAAACAACACAAAAGTTTTGAAAATAAGTATAAAGTAAATAGTCTTCTTAACAGAGGATTCCAACTACAGACAACAAGTAAGAAAATTTACCTTCCATTATAGAATTCAGTTCCAAAAGAATGATCGTTAATATACAGTCAGTCCTTTGCTAAAACATCTAAGTGGTTTTTTTTTTATCATTCTATAGGAAATGGAAATTCAATATTAAACTAGCAATCACTTTGTTGATTATGAAATAGGCCTGAAACATCTGAATCATAGTATACATGCTCATTTCTTTTGGACTTAAATAAAATGGAATAGTGGTTGAAATCTGAAATTGGAGGGATTATTGGTCCTGTTACTCAAAATAAAACTTGAAGTACAACAATTTAGTATATTAAAACTCTACCAAAAGCCAGGTAACATTCCATTGTAAGATTCTTGAAAGTAAATAATCTACTATCAGTTACTCTGACATATTATATTGTGACAAGAAAATATCTACCAAGTACACCATGAATCATTTCATACATACTGTATTTTAAATTTTTAAACTTCTATGTGCTTAGACACTACTGTATTTTCAGGAACTAGGGAAACTCCATTAAAATTCAAGTATGTCTAATCTGTATGATGGTGTCCAGCCTGCACAAAGCCTTATGAAATAAGCCTTAGTATTTGTTATTTTCAGAAAAAAAATAAGAAAAATAAATGATAATGTGTACATTTCTCTAAAAGGATAATAAAGCATTTAATAATATTCAACCCATGAGTCATAATTCAAAGCAATTCACCTAGGAAGTTCTGGGTTAATCATTCAAAGATTCTGAGGAATTAAGACACACAAGCCAAAAGTACACTTTTCTCTAATAAAATATATGGGACAGTATATAGCACCTGAAGATTTCTTCTCTTGCATTCTATTTATTCCTACTTCCTGATACAACAATACCAGCACATATTTATATTCCCTTCATTTCTACTCACCTACTTCTCATTATTAAACTATAGGGTAAAATTCTTTTTCTCTTTGACCATACTAAAGTAATGTTATAGGAACTCATAAATAGAAAACACATTCGAGAGATTCTGCACTATCTACCTTACCAAGCAGCACTTTCTGTCATTGCTGAGAATTTCTAGTCAAGTACTAACTCCCCAGTCATTTCTAAATATTCCACTTGTACACTGCACCAGATGTTCCATTACAAATGTGTATCTAACTATGCATAGTAATTTGAGTAAGAAAACATATCAATTACTTAAAACTTCGTGTCACAAAATCATAATGATTGATGAGAAAATGCCAAAAAAAAAATACTTTTTCCAAATTTAAGTTACTTTTCTAATATCCCAGAGGCAGTTTCAGTTTATATATAGTTAATATCAAATCTCTGAAAATGGAGCAGTAGACATTTGAAGACATTTATAAAGACAGTAAGAGAACACATGAAAAGATAAGCCTTAGTATTTGTATATTTTTAACTCTTAGCAAATGATATATGAAACTTTTCAGAAACTCAGTGATACTGACAGTCATTCTATAAATTTGAGTTTTATACTACTACAACTTAGCACTAGCTACATATTCCAACAAAAATTCTTACTGGTAAAGGTCATTTAAGAATACCATTTTATAAATAAAATATATTGAATCATATAAAAATTAAAAATCAGAAGAAACCATCATCTTTTTGCATTTAGTAACTTATGACTATATAGGTAAAGATTCAAAAGGTTCAAAGATTCAAAAATTTGAAACGATACCTCCATCTTTTTAAATGCTTTGTGAAACATGGATATTGCAAAAATGAATAAAAAGAATACTTCCTAAATACAATTATATAATGCTAACTCCAGAGTTTAGATTAAACATTGCAAAGTCAAAATTCAAAGCTCTTAAACTATAGATCAGGAATTTAACCAAATCTATGATCATGTGGAACATGCAATATACACGTCCCATGCCGATAATTCCTGTTTTAAAAGCTTAACAAATGAATTTATATTTGTAAAAAGCATGAAAAAACTGTACACATCACAATTAATATTTAGCATTTTATTTTTACCTTTGTTCAACCAATGCACATCTGTCAGGCAGGAGGACTCAGGCTGATGAAAACACATCAGCATTATGCCAGGCAGGGCTTCCTCTTAATCCTTCTAACCCTGGCAGAATCATAGGAGCCATCCTTAATCAGACGGGTTGAAAGACTCTTGGTTTGAAATCATTTTATTACAAAACTCAACTACTGAAAGTCAAAGCAGCACTCATTCAAGGAGGAAGCCACAAGATACTGTAGGGAGGGACGTGTTAGCAGGTTATTTTAAGGCTGTCACTATGTGGCTGGATATAGCTACAGGTCAAGTAAGAATGTACTCTAAGGAGGATTATGGTACTTAGCTGATTACTGCCTCACAATACTGAACCGAACACAATCCGGATCCAAGGCATTTCTGGTCACTATACTTAAAACTGGCAGCTTTACAAATTTATAAACCACTTTCCCCTCGATAAATCACACTCCTTTTAAAATGGCAGAATTCAGCATCATTAAAACTGATTAATAATTTTGCTCTTCAGCTTCATAAAACACAGAGCAAGCCCATTCAGTAACGTTTTTCAATGTTTAATTTTGTTTTTTAATCTAAAAAGACAATGTTCCCCCTCAAAATTAAAAAAGGAGGTTTTATAGATATTCATTTTTAAAAGTGCTCTGCAAACTAAGAAGTTAGTTAGACACTGAGTATAAATCCAATTATGTTCATTAATTTATAATCTAAACATCTCCATCTCATTGTCTGAAATCCTTTACCTCCCATAATAAAGACAAAATAGTATAGTTTTCCTACAGTCAAAATCCAATTGTTTAAAAGTTAACATTATACTTTTGAAAAACTGTGTCTAAATCATTCCAAACAACTTCTATAATATATGAACAAGGCAATGTTTGAGGTCTGAGCAAAGAGACAGAGTATTATGCTATTTATTAGTCTCACATCATTAGGTTTATACAAGAGTCTAGGAACATGTGGTAGCACAGTTCAATCATTTGTGGAATGTTCACCTACAAAATTTTCTTCTAGAATTCAGTTAGGTCTTAGGAGCACTGTGGGGTAAATAGAGATAATAGAGTGATTCTCTTTTTTTTCCCTCTTGTTTTTGTTTGTTTGTTTTGTTTTATGTGGCAGGGTCTCCCTACATAACCCTAGATGTCCTGGAACTCAGTATGTAGACCAAGCTGAGAAAGATCAACCTGCCTCTGCCCCCTTAGTGCTTATGAATTAAGTGTATGTCACCAATTAAGTGTATGACCCAGCAATGGCTATTTTTTTAAAAATCTGTAAGATGCCTAATAAAGATTTGTAGAATCTTCCAAAAGAAAGTAATATTCAATATAATTATTTTCCAAAAAGATGTTAACTAATAAAATACAACCAGAGCTGGGCGGTGGTGGCGCGCGCCTTTAATCCCAGCACTTGGGAGGCAGAGGCAAGCGGATCTCTGTAAGTTCGAGGCCAGCCTGGTCTACAAAGCGAGTTCCAGGAAAGGCGCAAAACTACACAGAGAAATCCTATCTCGAAAAACCAAAAAAGAAGAAAGAAAGAAAGAAAGAAAGAGAGAGAGAGAGAGAGAGAGAGAGAGAGAGAGAGAGAGAGAGAGAGAGAGAGAGAGAAAGAAAGAAAGAAAGAAAGAAAGAAAGAAAGAAAGAAAGAAAGAAAGAAAGAAAGAAGAAAGAAAATACAACCACATCGAGTCCACAGTTCATATCAATTAAACCAACCAATTTCACCACAGCATATTTTGCTTTTTCCAAATTTCAAAGCCAGAAAATTTCAGTCATTTCAATTGAGAGATTAGTATGAAAGCTTCCTCTTCCTTAGTGTTCCCTCCATCTCCCTTTTCTTCCTTTCTGCCTTAGGCACAGTCAGGAAGGGCTTCACCATGCAGCCCAGGAGCCTTGCCTCCCTTCCTGACGGCTTTTTCTTTTCTTTTCTTTTCTTTTCTTTTCTTTTCTTTTCTTTTTTTTTGGTTTTTCAAGACAGGGTTTCTCTGTGTAGCTTTGGTGCCTGTCCTGGATCTCGCTCTGTAGACCAGGCTGGCCTCGAACTCACAGAGATCTGCCTGGCTCTGCCTCCCAAGTACTGGGATCAAAAGCGTGTGCCACCGCCACCAGGCCCACTTTTGCTTTTTAAGTGACTTTTAAATTAATTTATTTTTATTTCATGTGCATTGGTGTTTTTGTCTGTGTGAGGATGTCAGGTCCCCTGGAACTAGAGTTACAGACAGTTGTTAACTGCCATGTGGGTGCTGGGAATTGAATCTGGGTCC